ATGTACTATTATTTTACTTTATTTCACACTAACTAAATACCCCTATTTTACAATGGTACAGTCCGCACGCTTCAATGACCAGCCACTGAATTCGGTTCGACGAGATAAGGGGATTATCAAACCCTACGCAAAGGCAAATTGGACCAACTGGGAGGTCAAACTTATCCTAATGTACTCCCCCTGGTTCTATAGGCGTTTAATCCAATGACAGGATAATAATGTGAAGCGCTTAGAGGCCTTGTTGGCGTTAAGTGCTATATAAGTCTAACATATCTATAAATTTATCCCAGTGAACCTTTCTTTTGCTTGATGTCACTCTTCGATTTTTTGAATGGTTTTTCTTTTTGTAGGTTAATTTTTCCTGTAATTTCCTTGTTTTTGATTCTTTGATGTACTGTACGTTGCTTTTATTGTTTAATGATTTTTTTTGTAATTAATGACTTTTATTGTACATGCCCCATTGGGTATTGTTGCCAAGGTCCGCCAAAAAAAGGCATTTTAAAAATGTTGATAATACCGATTGTTGAACTATAATTGTTTGTATTATTATTATTAAAATAGAAGGTGCATCATATAGCAGAGACTGTATTGACAGACATGAGATAGAAGATCAAATCTTGAAGGAAGACCGACGCCTACAGATGTTAAGTACGCCAAGAAACAAGAAGAGCATTCTAGTTGAAGAAAGGCGCCATGGAGGTTTTGTACACAGCCTTCTAAGGTACGGTAGTTGTACCATTATGTCATTATAGGGGATCACTACTTTTTGCCAGCATCAAGAGTACAGAAATAAATTATATTCCACTTCTGTATTTTTAATGTAGAGTTGCATGCAATCCTGTTTGTTTTTGATCAAAATAATAAGGCAATCCAGCATAGTAGCAGTTTTTCATGCACTTTTTTTTGTAATTTTCTTGAGTAAATCAGAGAAAACTGCTACACTAATTGTAAAATAATAATGCAAAACACAACTAAAATCCAATCCTCTCTTTTTTAATTTTTCAAGGGCTGCCATGACTCCAGTGAGACTCCTGTTTGGTAACAAGAAATAATCAACATTCAGTTGTATAGGGACAAATCTTATGACCTGATGTGTCAGTTATACAATATTGATATCTTTAATCTGTATTTTAATAAGTTACTTTATTAAATTATATTTGTATCAGCGGCGTAGCTAGGTGCGAAAAGACTCTAGTGCAAGTTTAATTGTCGGGCCATTTGATGTTATTAGAAATTCAAAATAGTAGGGCCAGTGAGGAATTTTCACAGGTGGAAGTTGAAGATCACGTTGGGGCTGAAGTGAAAACATTTTTAATTATAGCAATTCTAGGTAGCCGGAAATGGCACTCTCAGAATTAAATATTGATATAATTTCCTTTTCCCCATTTCCTTTCATAAAAAAATTAGGAGGAGGTGGGGAGGGGTGGCAGGCTGGCTGGGGCACCAATGTATACACCACTGATTTGAAATCAACAGTCATCAAATAATTACTCCTCTAAAAACTGAATATTATTAGCACATCTTTGCACAAGATCGAAAATCTGGCACTACTTGATCCATCATTTAGTACACATTAAAATAGTCTTTTAATCCCTAAAAACTGGGAGTTTAGTTTTGTCAATGGAATGCTAAAATATTAATTATATTTTAGACAACACAAAATAATACTTAAATATATATGTGTTACTACTCTGTATTACTGCATAGTATAAATAACCAGATGAACCCGACATATAAGTTATAACATTAAAGAAAGTAGAAAAAATATTTTATATATACAGCACATACCTTTAAGATACCAAAATATACAAATATTACTTTATATTTCATTGCAATGTAATGTATTTGTTTGATATAACCAGATCGTAATTCTTATGGTTACAGTTATGTTACCAACCAATGTAATATGCAAAGAATACGTTTGGGAAAAATATGGAAATTCCTCAAAATATACAAAATAAATATTAAAAAGGTTTCAAGTATTGCATACCATCATTCTGTAGGAAGCTTTTTTAGTTTCCTGCCTGGAATGTTTCAAGTACTGTAGTTATTCTGAACAATAATTTTCAATTAACTTTAATAATAGTGTACTTTGCTTTTGATATAGATTAATTATCTAATCTATAGTACAGTATACAGTATTATGACAAACAGGTATTCTATGGATAAACTACAGTATTAAGAGGTGTCTGAAAAATACATTTAACTTCACTCAAATGTGTACTGTATTACTTTTTAAAGGTGGTGACAAAAGGCTTGATGCTTTTGGAAGTTCATATTGGAATAACACTCTCACGTAATCTTAAGTTCCAAGAACGTTATCAAGGAGCTTTCGATTGCACGACGACAGTAGGACATGGAATGTACTGACGTCACTAAAAGTCATCTTCACACGTGATATGGTTCTAACGTCGCATCGTCAAAAAAATCAAAAGTTCCCGATTATTGTACATCTAGTGCAGCAACCACTTTAAGACTCCATTGCTATAATAAATATTGAATAAAATCAACAGTACAACACTTGCATAAAAGAGATGCTCAAGGTTCATTACAGAAAGGTACACTGCATGGAATAGTACGGTAGAAATAAACAGCATCCTATCATGATCATGGGCATAACCTTTGGGGGGGGGGATACGGATGGCAGCAAATTAATTCACCTGAGTTAAAATACTAAAAATGACCATTAGTTTTCATTGGAATAGGGATTATCTCCCACATTCTAAATTTTTTGCACCCCAAGTTCTGCATTCACAATTTTTGCACCCACCTCTATTCACACACACCAGGATGAAACTGCAGTAGACTATGCCCCCACCTTTGGCATAAAGTAATAATTGCAAAAAGGCACAAGATTTAGCCATGGTTTAGGGATGCATAGATTCCAATGTAATAATATAATAGTTATACACCTTGTATTCTTCAGCCCACCAATATGTAATACTACTCTGTTATTAATTACTATCTGAAAGTTTTATAAATACAAACCCAAAATATATTTTGATTAAAAAGACAAATATTTCATAATCTTAATAATAAAAAATAATAATGGTCATTTTCATATTTCAGATGAATGTACCATCTAGGAATTGCAACCAGAACATGATCATGATTCTACCATGTAATTTCTGTAGGACCATTGGAAACTGAATACCCTGTACTGAATAAAATACAATCACAATTCTTTATGAGAAGCATTTTCTTTAACTGTCCAAGACATGTAGCCAACTATCGGGTACTTAGCCTTGTAGACACTTTGGAATATTGTGTCTAACTCCTCAAGTTGCTTTTCAGTCAAACCAGTCTGAAATTTTTAAAAAAATGAGCTTGAACAGATTGGAAACATGAATACAGACAAATAAATAAATGTTTATGCGTTCAATTTGCATTCAGCTTTAAACTAAAGCCCATAAGTACATACAGGGCAAAATGTCCTGGGTATGACATTAGAACGCATTCACTCGAGCCGCCAGCAACTAACTCAGGCAACCTTATCTAGGTGGCTTTTGGGTGGGAGGGTAGATGGTCACCCAGAAGCAAAAAAAAAAAAAAAATAGCTAAACAAAGAGCAGATGAGCTCCTCAGATGCTTAGCTTAAGGAGTAGGATAAACATCTCTTTAGTGTTAGATTAAGTATTACTTTCTTGGTTGGTCCTTTTCACATTTATGTTAAACACAGAGGTCTCCACAATATGCGCTCTATAAGTCGCCCATTATTATTATGGAAACCCCGGTCCCAAAAGTGGTCTTTAATTGGAGTAAAACCTGCATCTATTAAAAGGGGATTTATATATCTACAACCATTCAAGTTAAAATACAAGTACTACCATTTGTAAAAATAAGGATCATATATATAGAGGCAAAGGTTTACAGATATAATATAATCCTGAATGATAATTTGCCTTGAGGACACAAATAATGGACCACTAACTGTATATTGAAAGCCCAATGTCTTCACACAGAACCATACTCTTTGACATACAAAATATTATTTTATTAAAAGACTTGCGTGGTGTATACAAGGGAGATACGTTTCCTAGACAGGAATTATTGTTCTTACCACATCACTGGTAAGATCTGCAGGTTCAAGAGACATCTTAGCAACTGCTCTGCTGGAATCTTTACCTACTAGTGCATTGTAGGGAGCACCTTTGCCATAGAAATCTGAAAGATCAAAGTTATCCAATCAATGAATATAGAACAAAAAATTTAATCACAATGATATATTACTACTCAAACAATGCCGTAGCCAGGATTTTCAAACAGTGCGGGACAACATCAAGGTGGATCCAATTTAGGCGTAAATTCAAATAATGTGGACCCATTTTTTTTAAAGTTGACCCATTTTACGCAACAATATGAAAAATCTGGACCCATTTCTTAAAAGTTGACCCATTTTATGCACAATATGAGAAATCTGGACCCATTTTATAAAAAGTGGACCCTTTAAAAAAAAAATTAGACCCATTTTTTTTGTGGACCCAATAGAAAATTTGTTTGGGACTGTCCCAAGTGTCCCAATAGCTGGCTACGGCATTGTACTCAAATGATACAAGAACATAAAAATAAAAATAATGGGGTCACCTAATTTGATGAAACATACCAATAACTGAGGGGAAAAGATAGCACTTTAAAAGAGTAACATAAATTTAATATTTAACACTAATTTGTTCACACAATCACAATCTATTTAGTAATAATTAAACTTAATCGACCTTCACTCGCAATTGCGAGTAAGGATCTCCTGGAAAACTTACCGGTATTGCTTATTTGAAGTAGAGTTTTTATTGTTCTCACATGACTGACGCCTTTAATGCTTTTTCCGCCAGTCAGTTTGTAAATTTGCATTTAGTCCTGGTGACCATAAAATGTCTAGCGTCAATTGGCATAATTACAATACAATACAAATACAAAAGTTTGACAACAAAAACTTATAAATGAAAATTTAATCAACAAAAAAAAAAACATGCATTAACATCATTCCTTAATAATTAATTAAAATGTAATCAATTCCTAATAGTTTTGCTACTCTTTTTTTCAAACAAAATTAAATGCATTAATGCTAGCGATCAATACAATAAATTAAGTATAAAACAAAAATTGCTTAAATAATTATAGAAATTATATACCTTTTCCTGTTGAAACATCAAAGACTACTCCTTTCACTGCCATGTAAATAGGTTTTTCAGGCTAAAAGATAAAATATTAGTTTTTTCTTGCATTAAATCAAAACAATTTTGAAAAAATTTACACATTATCCTCAACCTTAATTAGTAGTAAAGTAAGATCATTACCAACACATTTACTGTATTTACAATTTTTACAGTACTGTATTGCATACTGTAAAATTTTTTAATTGCACGGGCGATACCTCAAAACCAGCTCAATTTGCGCGAAAAATCGCTAGGAAAACAGTGCAATAATCTTAATTACTGAATAATAATACATTGTTTATATATTAAGATTAGGTCAAAGCCTAATTTTCGGCAAAATATGCGAGAAAATTGGCATTGTATTTTTCGAAATGCAGATGGATTTCTGGTCCAAAATTCTGAGTCTGCAAGGCTCATTTTGAGCAGCAGTACTTAACATCACGAATATAAAAAATTCAGTAAAAATATTGCTTAATTGGTAGGCATTAACTAAAGTTGCAGAAGAAACGCAATCAAGGGGGAAGCCATCAATCAATCAATAGGGGATGAAGTTTTCAAGACAAAGACAAAGTCTTGCATCTTCAAATTCATCAAACTTGTTGGAATCTGTGCTCTGGACTTCTGCTGCAAATTCCCTAGCTTACCCACTAGCCTACTACAGTACTAGGCTTAGAATAGTGCCTGAGTAGGAATATTCAGTCCTGTAAGGGCAAGCCAGAGATCAGCTAGATAAGGCCAAGGAGGTGAGGAAAGCCACACACTACTAATACTAGGTTAGGTAGGCAAACACTGTCATCAGTCAGTGCATGGCTGTCAAGAGTTGGGGCCTAGCCCAAGCCTTTTTTAAGTAGATTTTAGCAAATTTTCACTCGGCTGATAACAACCAAATAAATCTTACATCCGAGCCATCGTACTCTTTTATATCTTTGGGACTGAATTCTCGATATGAATCACTTTGTATTACGTTTGGAAGGCCTAGGAAACACACAAATATTAAAAATAGGCAATTCATTGAAAAGAACCGCTGTTCAGCCATGTTGATGTGTACAAGCATTTTACTCTTTTTCTGGTTGGATAATAATTGATTGGGTTAGCAAAATGGACCAATAAACACAGTTGTTCAATAGTACTGCGGAACCTAGCCTATGCAATAAACCGATGTATTTTTTTAGTCATCAAACTAAATATTTAAAAAAATACTTCTTAAAAGAAATACAATTTCATCAGTTCATTATAATTTATTATCAATTTAAAATGATTTAATTGCAGTATACTGTCTACGACAGTAAAGAAAATACTGTTCACTTTATACTCCTGAACCACCGGCAAACTGAATACGGAAGTACACACATTCACAACAAAAATCTATGTTGTGTGTAGAGAGTAGGTAGGCGGTGTTCCTGAAACGTTGCCATTCCTATAAATAGTGGACAACAAAATCGGAATTCATCAAAATGGATAGCCAGGGAAGAAAAATATTAGTTTGTGATAACGGTACAGGTGTAAGTATTTCTGTATTTTGTCTTATTTTTTTCGTCAAATTCCGTTCTTTTATATGAAAAATTCTAAGATACAAATGAGTATAATTCAAAGGCGGAAGTCTAGTCTTGATGAAAGCGTAGACCTCCTCGAATCAGGAAGTGAATTTTATGTTAGTAGCCAAGCCATGTCTCAAAATTTTGATCGATAATGCGACAATTTATGACATGGAAAATAGAAAATTGTAATATCACACAATATCTAAGTTTTCATACGTTCATTGTTGAAAAATCAAACGATGAACGGGGCCTAAGCTACCCCGGGCCTGGCCCTAGGTAGGCTAGTATGATGCTGCCTCCCTCCTTGTTTAACTTCCTAGAGCTAGACATTCATAGGCTAGGCCTAGGCTTATTATTGTTATTATTAGCTGGAACTGAGCCAAGCCCACTATATTGCGGACCCAGTTACCTCCTGATGCTTCATGATGCCGACTAGAGCCTCGGTCGATGTCCTGACATTTTTATGGCTTAGTATGGACCAAAATTTGCTTTTTAGAGGCAAGGGAAGGGGTCCAGGCCTGTCTGCAGGAGGGAAAATGTCCCACTTCCCCCTGCTGGCGTCACTGTAGTATTGCACCACAACTACTCGCAATAAAATAGAGTAGTTTCACACATTTACTCATGGGGCCCCAAAAAAAAAAAAAACTTGTTTCCCCTCGCCTAAATCATCGAAACCCCATTCATTTTCGCAGCCCCCCCCCCCATTTCAAGACTCCTAAACAGTATGCCACTATTACCCTAATATTATATTATTATATATTAACTGTTTTGTACTAAAATAATCTGATATTTCACTAGGGTCTGTTCCTAATATATCTTGTATTTTATTTTATTCACTGGTAATTCTACTCATACTGAGCCTTTTGGCAACCTATTGCTTGATAATTAATATGTATACCAGTTTGATTGTTGTGGTTCAATGTACTGATGTGTCTTCATTCTTTCTGGTATTCAGAAATATATAAAATCTTTTTATTTGATAACTTTTAAATCACTTTGGCAAATCCATCGTATTAACCAAAAGTGTTTACTCACTGAAACAATTTTATAATATAAAATAATATACTTTATATTGCATGTCAATTTCAGATAGTTTAACAATTTGCTTGCAATTTTGTAAATTCCTTCTTTACAGTTTGTAAAATGCGGATATGCAGGAAGCAACTTTCCTGCCTTTATTTTTCCTTCCTTGGTTGGACGACCAATCATTCGATCCACAGCAAAAGTTGGAAACATCGAGATAAAGGTATGAGATCATTTAGGCTTGTTATTGTGCATTTAAATAAATCAAAGGATATATTTAATTTACTATCATAATGCAATATTTTTAAACAATATTATTCTGCTTGTTGTCAGCATATGAAAGACAACACTGATAACATCATTATATTTCATGCATTTATGCTTCATTGATCTTATGGAAGTACTGTACTACATTTCTAAGTTTTATTAACTAAACCTAATAGAGTATGCCAATTAAATTGACTGACTGAGTGAGAAAGTGTTCTGTAGGAAGCTTACATTTCAAAGCACTACTTTTGATTTTTTTTTTTGAAAAGTAATAAATTCATCTGGTTTCTGCAAATTGGAGAATACATTTTTTAGTTGAACCAAGATAAGAAATAAAACTTAGTTGTGAGCTCGCATTCTCAAGTTATTACCAGACTGTAACATAGAAGTGGCACTATTCATAGTGATAATCAGCATTCCAATTTGAAGCATTTTAGTGTTGCTGTACTGTATGTCAGTTCAACTAAAAGAATATCTCTCCAAACAACTTTATCACTGCTACGTTTAACATATTGGACCGTATGATACAATACAATCATACGATATATTTCTTTAATTATTTTATTTTCAAAATGATAAAAAATTCTGAATATCATAATGTATGGATTTTATTTTTTTTAAAGCATTAAAAGGTATATCTGAGATGTTGGGATTTTATCATGCATAGTACAGTACAAGTATCTCCAAACATAATTACTGATTTGCTTTTTTTCATTTTAAGGTTGGAAATGAGAACATAACACATTTTCATCCAGTATTTAAATGCTTACTTTTGACTTTGAAAAATTACATCTCATTCAATTTGCATTTTCTTTGTTTTGTTTTTATTTCCCTTCATTTGTTCCATGCAAAGCACAGAAGGTAGGCTTATATTCTCAACCACGTCTCTTTTTTTTCACTTTCATAGTTTGTGTGTTTAATAAGTGTTCATAAGTTTTGTTGCTAGATCACCATTGCAGAGCAAGAAATTGTTGATACAATTCACTTTTTGATAGCCCACATTCTAAGAGAAAATTATGGAAGTTTATTTACCACAAACTGTACTAACAGCCAAGTTGTACAATTGAAAACATATTTATACTGAAATATTTATAAAATAATTAAAAGGTAAATACAGTACATGTTGTCAAACTACCTCTTCTTATTGCAATGTATAGCACACATAGGCTAAATAATTTAAACATACTGTACTTCCCTTCATAGTAATTCTGTTGAAAATTTTTCCTTGAGATTTATGGGCTGTCAGAGTGTGGTTGATTGTTTGAACTTTTTTTTTATTGTTGATATTGTGATTTCTAGATTCTTATTCTCTGCAGGCATTTCATAATCCTTTTAGTTTAAACTGTTAATAGATAATATCTTTAGATGTGGCTTCACGGTGCTAGCATGTTATGTTGAAATATGTTGTGATTTGCCTATAAGTGTTCATTGTGCATGCAGCTGACTTTTGTTTTTGGGGGTTTTTTTTCCTCTTTTTTGCTTTTGAGTGTATTTTTATCATTGCTTTATTCACTGTGGATGTAATGCTATTTAAATTTTTTTTACACATTTTTTTTTTTTGCATCTGTTTGCTGTGATGCCTCTTCTTTATTTTTATGTTGTCTTTGTTCTAGTTTTTTTTTTTCTGAATTTTTGTTTCTACTATGATTGTTTTTTATTTTAATTTTGAATTTCTGTACTTCTACTGTACAGAATTGAAAAGTTGCTACAAATGAACAAATTCCTTACAACAAAACCTCTACCAATTAAATGCATGGAATAAGTACTGAATTAGAACATTGGCAGAAACATGAACTACAGTGCAGTATTTAAAGGATGTAAATTTTGATAAATGGTAATGAAAGAATAATATTACTGTATAACCCCAAAAATGTATTAATTTTTTTTATCACATTTGGTCTAGAAAACAAGTATGCTATTAAAATACCTTTTCATTTAATTATCAGTTCCTTAAGTCCATTATTTGGCTGTTGAATTCTACCTTTCTGAGCAAGTTCCCCTAGTACAGTATTTCAAATTCTAGGCATACAGTATCCTAATTAATACCACCCAATTAATTAATTAAGTGTGCATTGTGGCAATGAATTATTGTGGAATCGTGTTGATTCCACTTTAAAATTTAAGATTGTTTTGTGTGCAGTTGTTTCCTGTTGCTAGTTTATTGTTATTGTTATATGATGTGGACAATTTATAAATAATTCAATTTACAACTAGCCAACATTATTATTTAGTGTAATATTTGTTTATTATTATTTTTTATGAATGTAAATTCCTGTGATGTGAAGAACTGCAAGGAAGACATGTATTTGTATGACCATCAATGAAAATAAAACATACATTTATCCTCTAAGAAGTTCAGAGCAGTTTCAACCACATCTACAAATTATTTTCGAGATCTTTTATATTTTTATTTTATAATTAACAAATTCTTGACTTAGTTGCATGATTTGGTTGTTCTGAATCGAGAGAGTGAGTGACAGCAAAGTTGTTTTATTCCTGTATACTGTAAATAATTATTTATTTATTTAATAATTTTTGTTTATATTTTGTTTAATGAAATACTGTTTATTAAATATTTTATTTCATTTATTACAATATATTCTTTATTTGTTTAATATTATTTTTTCCCTTCAATTCAATTCTTTACAGGATCTAATGGTTGGAGATGAAGCTAGTCAGTTGAGATCTATGCTTGAAGTGAAATACCCCATGGAAAATGGAATAGTCCGAAACTGGGATGACATGAAACATGTATGGGATTATACTTTTGGTGAGGAGAAGCTGAATGTAGACCCCAAATCATGTAAATTGTTACTCACAGAACCACCAATGAACCCTGCAAAGAATCGAGAAAAAATGGTTGAGGTAAATAACATTAGAGAGTGGCAAGTTTGATAACGAAAGGACATTTCAGAGGGGTTAAGAATGAGGTTATATAGTATAGTAGTATCACTGATCTCTACTATAATAGCTGGATTGCTCATTAGCTGGTTTTAGTGAAGCCACCGATGCGAAGTCAGTTACGTTGTTAGTGATCAACATCAAGTGGTTAGATGATTTTTTTTTTAAATCGTTACATTAAATTAAAAATTTACTTTTGAAAAGTATTGCAAAGATTTCGAAAAGAATGTATACATGTAATATTTGTTCATTATTATTAATAAAATTTAATAGTCCTATGATGTGAAGAACTGCAAGGAAGATATGTATTTGTATGATTATCAATGAAAATAAAACATACATTTATCCTCTAAGAAGTTCAGAGCAGTTTCAACCACATCTGCAAAGAAATAATTTTTGAGAACAGTTATATTATTATTCTATAGTTAACAAATTCTTGATTAAGTTGCATGATTCGAACTACAGAAAGGATTTCCATATGGTATTTGTAGCTCTTTGGAGAGGGCAAGTTTGATAATGTTAGGACATTTCAGAGGGGTTAAAGATGAGGTCATACAGTAGTGTGCCTATGGTTCCCATGGTAGAAGCGTCCTCGTCGAGCCATTGGTAATGCCAGTTCTACCACCACCACAAGGTATACTTGTATCACCATTGTCATCATGGCTAGACCAGAGTGTGTCCTTTTTAGGACCTGCTCTTACTTTCATATCTGCAAACCTCAAAGGTTTCTGTGGACACGATAAGAAGAATAATTTAGAAAAGAAAGTATACATAACAAAGCCTAACAAAATATCCACAATGTACTAGACTCACAGAGCACATATACAAACCCAATAACACCACTGAACTAGGGGTGGCGCCAGGATTTGCCAGACAGGGGGTCTGATGTCCCTGACAAGGGGGAAGATGTCCCCGACGAAAGTGCGCGTGGTCGGACATTGCACAAAATACTCCGAAAGTGGTTCAGGCGGCAGAGCCTTCGAAAATTTGGACAATTTAAATGTTTCACAAGCTCGTTTAATCATTTTTTAGAGTCTATTAATTTGTAGAAAATACATATAATATAATTGTGGTTTTTCTTTCCGACGGGGGAACGCACTGGCGTCAACCCTGCACTGAACCGTTTGCCAGCAGTTTAAGACAATGTCTATCGATGCATACTTCTAGTAATATCTGTTTTAACAGAACCTAAAAATGGTAAAATATATAACTACAAAATAAAACAGTATTGCTACTAAGTCAAAAATATTCTTGGATCAAAGCTTCCACACAATTTAAATATGACTCAATACTACCCTTGAAGAAATTCATTAAGATTTCATAATACTGTAATTAAATTGTATTTTTTAACAAGAACATTGTTACTTTTAACATTTTTGTACATATTTATAGGTTATGTTTGAAGAATACCAATTTGCAGGCTTGTATGTTGCCATCCAGGCTGTCCTGACACTCTATGCACAAGGTAATGCTAATAATATGTATATATGTACAATATCAATGAAGTTATTTATTCATTCAACTGGGAAGCTGAATCATGCATAATTACTTAACAATAATTAACTGTTTAACTACATCATAGGAGGGCAAATCATATTCAAATTAAAGTTTAAATGTGCCATTTCCAGCAATCTAGTAGAGGTGCCATAAATTGTACCTCAGCTCCAACCATAATGGGGCTGAGATTGTGTAGATCCTTGATCTCTAGAAGTCCCTTCCTGTACCCCCTCTATTTTGAATTCGTAGATCTGCCACTTAATAAAATATGTTAAATAGTCTTACAGTACTTTGTAAATTGCTTTTAATTCGCATATACTGTAGCTAAGGAGGACTGTAAGACTGCCTTACATACTTAAAAAAGTTGGTATGAATTAAGTAGCAATTTCTTAAGCCAATAAGATACCATGACTCATTTTAAGTTCCCTAGTTTGTGTTTCCTTTAAAAGATTAAAGTCTTCACATCGGCTGAGTATTTTTAAATCATTGATATCTAGGTTAACGCCCTACATTGTGTGCATATAGTCTGGGAAATTGTTTTTATCAAAGTTTATTTATATTCTTTCAGAATAAATTTATATGATTTTACTAATTGTGACCCTATAACTCTATACCCTGTTTTGTTTTTTATCTTTCTCTTTTTCTATAATGGTGTTTAAACTGCAAGGAAGATATGTGTTTGTATGATTATCAATGAATAGAAAGCATACATTCCTCTAAGAAGTTCAGAGCAGTTTCTACTATAAATTTACACGTTCAATGGCGACTACTGCCTACATGACATGTTTTTTTTAATTAGAATGAGTGTATCACTATGAAAAATAATATCTATAAATAAAAATATTTGATGTGAATTGTTTCTTGATTTGTAGGTCTTTTGACGGGTGTTGTTATCGATTCTGGTGACGGTGTAACTCATATCTGTCCTGTCTATGAAGGGTTTGCTCTACCACATCTCACAAGGAGGCTGGACATTGCTGGCAGGGACATCACAAAATATCTCATTAAGGTATTTTTGAAAAGCATATTGTACTTTTTAATTCAGAAAGTCTTCGTGATTTGAACAACTGCAATGAAGATATGTGTTTGTATGATTATCAGTGAAAAAAAACCATACATTTATCCTCTAAGAAGTGCAGAGCAGTTTCTATATCATTATATATTATGTATTTATATATAAAGTAGGCATTAATAACATGGTAATAAGCAGCACGTACCTGTATGTTCCCAGCAAAATATATGTAAATATAGACATTGATACGATAGGAATCATACACAGTTGACGTATTATAGGAACATAATTTTATTAGGCATGTTGAGAAAGTCTTGATTACAGGACGAAATATTCAACTATGTATGATTTTTATTGTATCAAAGTCCATATATATATATATATTCAACAGTAGAATGGATAATTATCACACCATAAATTAACCACAATATAGCGAATAATTAGAAACTTTAAATTGTATTGTTTTTTTCCTATATATCAGTTGTTGCTTTTGCAAGGATACGCCTTCAATCATTCTGCAGATTTTGAAACGGTTCGAATTATGAAGGAACAATTGTGTTATGTTGGGTAAGTATCCGTAATGGTGAGGTTGATGTTTGCAAAATTAAAAGACTAAAAGATTTCTGTGTGCACTGAGATTTGGTTTGTGCAGTAAAAGTACACCATGCAAAAAACACTACACAGAATACAAAATTATACAGATTAATATTGTACAAATAGTTAAAACATTGGCTACTTAATTTCATGAATATATACACTGCAAATATACCAAATATTTGCTTTGGTTTGTTTTAATTTACAGTTTTTAGATTGGTTATCTGTTTGTATATTTCCTTAATAACCCACAGCAAGCTCAAAACACTAAATTGCAGATATTAAATATAAATATGCCATAAGTAACAAGTATTTTTCAGATATATGCTCAGCAGATCTTCTGTCCCAGAAGCTGTGTTTTTAAAACACCAATATTTTTTTGTCCGTAACTTTTTGGTGCTATAGGATGAAGCAATGCAGTGCGTCTAATTATGAGGCCTAATGAATAACTCCTATCCGAGAACCTTTGGCTCTACTAAACAAACCCAAGGTGAGAAGGGTCTCAAACCAGTGCTGATGTTAAGGCTAATATTATCACCCTTGACTTGTAGTTGTTCGGCAATAATCTAATCTTTTATGGGATTTTATATTTTGCAGGTACAATATTGAACAAGAACAGAAACTAGCCAGGGAAACAACAGTTTTGGTTGAAAATTACACAGTAAGTAAAGGTTTAGAGTAGTGTAATAGTAGCAAGGGATCTTTCAATGAAAAAGAGCCTTAATATTGTTCAGGTTCAAGTGGATCTGGAGGAGGATACTTTCAAATTTGTTAAAGAATTATCAATTAGTATATGTGGTGCTCTAAAAAAAATAATAAAACTTGTCTCAGTAAGAGTTGGTTTTTTTTACCTAATTCTGGATTAAAATACATCAGACTCTGAACACCAGGTTTATTACTGACATGTTCTAAAAATACCCTCATTGTGAGTGAGACGCATGATGATTGTTTTATAGAAAGAGGCATCCATGTATGTAAATTAGACAAACATACCAATGATTGCATACATTCCGCTAATCAGTGATAATTAATAATATAATATAAGAAGGCTTCGCTCTGACGTTTTTTGAATTATATATCTATAATCTGTTATAATCTTCGATCTCTCGAGTTTTTGGTTAAAACTGAAAAATAATTTAGTCTAAAACAAAAATGTTTACCTCTTATGAATTGGTTGTACACAAAATAATCTTAAAAATATATACGATTTACAGCTTCCAGATGGACGAGTCATCAAGGTTGGAGGTCAAAGGTTTGAAGCACCAGAAGCATTGTTCCAACCCCATTTAATCAACATTGAGGGCGTAGGCATTTCTGAACTTCTGTTTAACACAATCCAAGCTGCTGATATTGACACACGATCAGAATTTTATAAGCACATAGTCCTGTCTGGTGGCTCAACTATGTACCCAGGTCTACCATCAAGGCTAGAACGAGAGATCAAACAATTATATCTAGAGCGAGTGCTTAAGGGAGACACTACAAAACTAGCTGTAAGACTCTTTTGTTTTTTCCTTTCTGTCCAAAGCTGCATCCACATTATCACATTTGTGACACAGTTATGTGAATTGGCCATAATGGGCATGATGATATATCACATGGGCAGGGTGATGTCATACTTATATATCCCCATATGAAATAATATGTTAGATATGTGCTTAATGCCAACAGAGAGCCTCTAAGCGCTTCACATTATTACCCTCGGTCATTGGATCAAACACGTATGGAACACATACTCAGCTCCCTGGGGAGAATTCCATAATATTGCAGCTAGTAATTTAATTTGAATTTGATAATGAAATGGTAATATCCACTGCAACACAAGTTATTTATAAATTCTTTATTCTTTTCAACTGCGAGGATGACAACTTTATATCTGAAATAAATGAAGAAAAAATTTATTTCTCCTCTAAGAAGTTAACTGAGCAGTCAATATTTTAAAATCACTCATAGCAACCAACATTTAATATAATAAAATGAAAATTTATTGTTTCAATAAGGTAAATATATATTCTTTGGGGTTGTCAATAAATGTATGTTTTGTTAATATACTTTTAAATTCTCCACAATTCTAGAAATTCAAGATCAAAATTGAAGATCCACCACGTCGTAAGCACATGGTGTTCCTTGGTGGCGCTGTACTAGCTGATATCATGAAAGACAAACAAGACTTCTGGATAACAAGGGAAGAGTATCAAGAGAAAGGGCTAAAGTGTTTAGAGGTACACTCAGTAAAAGTATAAAAAAAACAAAAAAACAGTCTACACTCTATTTTTTACTTTGATAATATAATAATAAAAAAAACTACAGGCTTTTCTTCACCAACCAAAGTAATCTTTGTCTCCTGTAAAAAGCAAGTCATGTTTTTTAAGAGTTGGTTTTTTCTTCTTTTTTTTTTTCAGTCTCTTAGATAAAATTATTTTATACCGAAAAATAGTTTCTTACATTATATGTTTAGTGGTCACCGTTAGTTGAGCCTCCAGACAATTGTGTTATCTCATAATTGTCATATGGTAGGCTAGTTTTCAATTAGTAAGCTTTCAATTTCAAAATGGAGAGTTATCCAACCTTGGTGGTCATGGTACAAATGGTAAAGTCTTGTCGCGTAATCTGTTTTGATTTCTGAGAACGGCGGTGCATCCGGCAGTGACTAAAATATGCTTGTTCCTACTCTTAGAATGCTGCTACACTGCTAGGCCTGAGCCAGGTCCAGAAAGTGTGACTGAGCTAGGCCTTATTCTAGCCTTGATGTACTAGACCTTTGCTTGATGTTTGGATCCTAAAAATTACCGAAACGTAGTACAACTAGGCTAGTATATCCTTATAATAAAATGAGTACTTACCTTTTGTAAAATTTTAAGTAAATCATACACTCGAATGTCTCTTTCGTTTAGAACCAGAACAATGAGTAAACTAAAATATGACACATTTGCTTTTGGCTTCTATTTTGACACTTCCATTGTATGTGGGGGTTGGCAAAATGATGTTGGTTTTAGACTGAACATTAATTCAATCAAAAACCCTTCTGGAAGTCAACAGGACATATGCAGTGCTTGTATTCGCAGATATGTTTTTTCGTACCTCTTATCATCCTTATCATCTACCCTCCTGAAATTGAAAGTTTGCTAAGCATTCAGTACTACATTGTAGTATGGGTGTAGTTCAGTAGAAATATGAAAGATAATATACAGCAATGAAAGCTATATTACTGAACTATGATGTGCAAGTCTATGCTATCACTAATTTTGATAACTTCTGGTTCTATATAAATAACTTCTCAGACACAGAGGGTGAGAATTGAATGATTAGCATTATTAATTCATTGATTATTAATTTGAGTTGTCAGAAAATCTAAGATCTGATATTTTTTTTTTCATTAGTGAATATTATAAACCACTTAATAAAATATGAATATTACAGTTATTACAATTATTATTATTTCAGAATATATTTCCATAAATGGTATTTTCTTTTTCACATCAATAATATTTATTTCATTACTAAGAATGATCGATATGAAAATGTCTAGTTTATAACTGTCCCCTTTGAATATTTTAAAGTACAGGATCAGTACAGTTTTTAATAGTGATTAGCTGATATTTTTTTATAAAGAAAATAGTAATAATACAAATTCAGGAATTTAAATCAATAAATATATCAGTTATTGATTTAAATTAGTGTTTTTTGTGATTTATATGGTGGAAAAGTTCTGGTGTTGCTTATGCTGTATTGCATACAAAATATTATATATCACTGGATACTATTCCTCTAAAATTAAATATTAATTTAATAGTTCTATATTATTTGTTGTAAAAAAAATGCCTAGTTAGATATTAAATAATAAATCTTAAATCAAATTGCCATGTATCCCTAGCAATTTTTTGAGATACTTTGTCTTTTTTTTAAACAGACAAATGTCTCAGTAATTGGTAACTATTATTTTTAATGGTTACATTTTTTTAGCATGACCAAATATACATCTTACTCTGGTACAGTATCAATATTGATCAATATAGACCATTATTTGCTGATGGCCTAATTTTTCTCAATATTAACTGATCTTTGAGTTTCGCTTATGGTGGTCAGTAGTGTATTAACCTTTGCCAAGATTTTGTAAATTTTATTTTGAATGCAGTTTGTAAATCTGAGTATAGTTTTGGGGTTTTGCCATTCCCAATGTCAAGGGTCATGTTTTAGAATCATGAAAACCAACCTCTCCGTTTTTTGACATTTGAGGATTCCATTAAAAAAGCAGGGGAATTCTAAGAAAAATAATGCTGTTAGATCGTAACACAATGGGTATCATTTTTTTAATGATTGAGATTGACAACGTTTGCATGTAGTGTATAAGAACAAATTAAATATAAAGACGTAAGTAACTTTCGAAACATTTGTGCATCTGTGTCTTTTTAATTTTAGTGTTTAATGTGTTTCTCTCACAACAGGAAATTTGGAAGTGTTTGTGAGGTGAGTTGTCTGGTTTGATGTGTGCACATTAAATCTATGCTTCACATCATGAATTGAACAATTAGAACATGTGTGGTGTCGTATGTTCCTGATGATGACATAATTAATGTCGAAATATTGAATCCCAACACGATGGCGTGTATTTCAATACTTGGAGTATGTATTATACTTTCTTATCTGAGATTAATCAGTGGACCTTTCGGTGTCGTATGTGTTGCCTAATTTGGTGCATGTATGTAGTGAAAATAGTGCATATTTGTAATGTGCTGACATCAGACAAACCTAATGTTGTAGAGCTCGAAACATGAACTACTAGCTCCTACTTCTAAGAATAACATTCTTTGCCTCTAAGAGCCTTTTCATACCTGTGTTACTATTTGATAAACAAGTGCTAACACCTTTCGTGCGGTCCACTGCAAGAGCTGTATGCGCCAATACACTGGGGTATTCCCCAACTTGACTCAAAAGATGTACCAGTAGTTGGTGGCGCTACGGCACTGTCAGCCTCCATCTCCCGAGAGCAGTCAAAAAAAAACTATGAAGCATCCAGGTGAATAGAGGTATAGGAACACCCCAAAACTTCTATCCTCCATATAGGTTCAGCCGCTTTAGGCCATAAGTCCTTGAGTTCAACCACACCAGAGGTCCCAGGTCCCTCGGAAGTTCTGGACAACCTCCCGCACGATTCTGGAAAATAACCCATCTTATTTGCATGTTTTTACTACATAATTATTATTATTTCTCACGGAAGATGGGTGTGACCAGGGGGTATGACCATGCACAGCAAAATCGAATTAAATATGTTATGGAAGCTCATTTAAACAAATCTCATGGAAGGGATTTCTTTGAACTTGTTATTGTGATCTACTAAATGGGGCATGTACTGAAGACTTGGCACCATGGAATTACTGTAGTAAATTAACATTTTTAAAGCATTTAGTAGTTCGTGAGGGACGATGTTCTAAGGGTGAATGATACTGCATAGTAAGCAACGGAGGGAGGGAGTGAAAAAAGAACACTGCACTACATAGCATGGACTTGACTTGGCAATTGAATTGTAGTGGAATGCGAGGAATGCAGGTGTACTGATGAAAGACTTGAAATCGAGATGGTTACATTTATCTTGCTGTTGAATAAAGGACCAAAGTGGGGTTTGCTAACTTGTGTAACGTTTACGATTATTAAATTAAACTATCGCCTTCCATTTAAATTATAAAGGATATAAATATAAAACCGATTAATAATGGTGCAGCTTAAAATACACATTATCGTAATTCCGGACGTACATCAATGCCCGGTAGTTATTGTCCTTAATTACTGCTAGAAATATACATACAAGTTTTGAATGTACCTCAATTTAATTCCGAATTCTTTATTAGTCCATTTTATATAAGACATAGGTGTCGTATCTATTATAAGATGGTTCGGGGATGGATGCGAAGGTGGGAAGTCTCCACAGTGGCGTATCTAGACTTCTTGAAATGGGGTGGGGGTTGAGGGGTGCTAATTCGCAAAATATGGGTGACCGGGCGCGAGCTTCCCTCCCCTTGAGGGCATACTGGGCATACATTTATAGCCTTATATACACAAAAAAAACGGCTCACTGGGTTACGCATGTATTTACCGATAAGCCTTATAAATTCAAATATAGAGATATATGAAATACGACATTTTCGGTGTGCTTTGTTGTTATTGACTAGAACCTTGTGCGTGTTGCCGTGTGATTATTGAGCAGCATGAGGTAAAAGTACCTGAAATTCTTGAACCCATTAGTGATTTTTTTGACCTATTTTATGTGAGGGTCTGCCGGGAGATACCGATGTGGCGGTTTCGTACAGCACTTTGGAGACTAATCAAATTCCAAGCAAAGTATTGTTATTAATATAAGATTAAAATTATGAAAACAGAACGGTACTAAATTCATGAACGTATCACGATACATCATGCGAGGAATGCAGGTGTACTGATGAAAGACTTGAAATCGAGATGGTTACATTTATCTTGCTGTTGAATAAAGGACCAAAGTGGGGTTTGCTAACTTGTGTAACGCTTACGATTATTAAATTAAAATATCGCCTTCCATTTAAATTATAAAGGATATAAATATAAAACCGATTAATAATGGTGCAGCTTAAAATACACATTATCGTAATTCCGGACGTACATCAATGCCCGGTAGTTATTGTCCTTAATTACTGCTAGAAATATACATACAAGTTTTGAATGTACCTCAATTTAATTCCGAATTCTTTATTAGTCCATTTTATATAAGACATAGGTGTCGTATCTATTATAAGATGGTTCGGGGATGGATGCGAAGGTGGGAAGTCTCCACAGTGGCGTATCTAGACTTCTTGAAATGGGGTGGGGGTTGAGGGGTGCTAATTCGCAAAATATGGGTGACCGGGCGCGAGCTTCCCTCCCCTTGAGGGCATACATTTATAGCCTTATATACACAAAAAAACGGCTCACTGGGTTACGCATGTATTTACCGATAAGCCTTATAAATTCAAATATAGAGATATATGAAATACGACATTTTCGGTGTGCTTTGTTGTTATTGACTAGAACCTTGTGCGTGTTGCCGTGTGATTATTGAGCAGCATGAGGTAAAAGTACCTGAAATTCTTGAACCCATTAGTGATTTTTTTGACCTATTTTATGTGAGGGTCTGCCGGGAGATACCGATGTGGCGGTTTCGTACAGCACTTTGGAGACTAATCAAATTCCAAGCAAATTATTGTTATTAATATAAGATTAAAATTATGGAAACAGAACGGTACTAAATTCATGAACGTATCACGATACATCAGATTCGAAATTAGATAGCGCATTATTCTGAATAAATATCTATCGAACATCACGTTTACCCTTTCAGCGTTTGCTTATCTACAAAAAAATAAATAAATAAAAAAATACAGATTTAAGCTTCTCATCCCTTTCGAACTTCTCAGCTAAATTACCATTTTTGCATTGCTCGTTTAATGTAGGCCTATTCATACTTTTAGATTGGTTAAGATTTGATAGTTTCATTTAATATGCGCTATATAAGTCTACCATTATTTATAAAAAATGTATGCATATGCCTACACTGTTGTTGCAAAACATAAATAACTGAGATGACGTTTATTGTCGTAGGCCTATCTATCGGCTCCAACTAATCCCGCCGCTGGGGCGACGGTGGCACCCCCCCCCCCGGGGGGACAGGCCTGGATCCCCATCCGACGCCAGGTCGTTGAATCAAAAATAATAATTTGCATATCCAACTTACGTTATTTTGATTGCCAATACCTATGTTGTTGTCTAAAAGCATAATTTGGGCCATAAAAGCCATGAAAACTCCTTGAACCCTACCACCAGTGATTTTTTTCTATTTTCCCGAGACCCAAATCGAGGCTGGTCGACAACTTGGTTCGATCCGTCAGACATGTCATGCCCCTTGTCGGCAAATTTCTGGAGCCACTGATGATCATATCACCTTATTTTGTCAATTTAATCTAATTATTGCTGCAATAACTGACAGTTTTTTTTATTATTTTTTTTTTATTTTTTATTTTTTTATAAGAACACATTTTATAAAAGAAGACTGAAATCGCTTAAAAATTAAGAACAAAATATGAAAAACTGAGGTTGAGGTAAAATGTTAAATGAAGTTTTTATTTTTTCAAATAGAAAAACAACAGATCTTATCTGAACCTTATTTGCTGTGACTATGTAATACCCAGTGTACAGTACAGCAATATACTGACATACAATATTAATGTTTGAAAGGTGTGTAAAAATAAGAACAAAATAAAAACATTTCGAGTCTGAGCTAAAGAAGATAAGAACACTGTGCATGGGCAAATTGTACTGGTTCCTAATTTTAAAAAAAATGTGTAGTTGACTTTTAGTTGATTAGGCATAATATAATAACTACATTCATAAATCCATATTTACATCGCTGTAACATTGCCTGCGCAGTGCGCGCGTGTGTGTAAAGGGATTGGTGCATGTGTGACGTGAGTGTATGCTTTTGTTTTTTGTTGGTGGTGGTGGTGGGGGGGGGGTTTCTTCTGGCCTCTTCTTCTGGTATGGAATAATACTTATTATTTACGGGATTCACTTGAACTACTTCGTTCAGGTTAGTTGGTTAGTTTTCTTCCGGCGTCAGCACGTTTTTGTTCGTGACTATTGGATAGAATTCTAGCAGGCGATCGGACATTCCGGGCCTCCTTCCGAGGACGAAGGTTACCGTTGCCGCAGGTGAGCTGTGCGCAGGTGTACTGCCGTGGATAGCATCATGTCTTTACATATTCATTCTATAAATAACTTAAGTCGATGAGTTGAGGTGAATGCTCGGCTTTGCGTGTTCACAGGCTTTGGTAGTGTACTGTAATAAGTTTATAACCCTATAGAAAGTCAACAATGATTTATAAATAGATGCGTTCCCCTGTTATACAGGCCTGTTTAGATAGGCCTATGTGCACCATTTTATATTGTTTATGTCGCCGTTATACAGGCCTTTACATTTTTTAAAAACTTTCATTTATATTGCTTAAATTGGTTTATGGGCTTAAATGTTCAAAAACATTCCATCACTCCACCCTGATTTTCTCGATGCTTAGAGTCCGCCCTAGTCGTACTTCTCGTACGGACCAAGCTAATAAATTTATCAAAACTCGATGTAGCATAGATATATTGTTATTAAACGGGATTTTTTTTTAATACGAAAAACTAAATGCCAACGCCGCCGGGGCTGAAATGCAATGTCCTGACTCGTGACGAACATTTTATCATGAAATAAATTATGTGAAAGAATGCGACTTTAGCTACCTTAAGGCAACCACGAATGTTTGATCACGACTAGATCTAAATATAGAGCTGATATATTGGCCTATTTAAAGAATTCATTTTGTAGGCCTAGTGATAATTGATACTT